ATTATTATAATAATTAGTCCAAAAAGACCATTTGATTAAGGTAAAGGATGTACACATCATTAAATTATTTTTAATAATTTGATTGATAGCTGCAGCCTGCTGCTTAGTCAGGGTGAAAGAGTGGGTTCTGCTGAGAAACAAGAGAATTTTAGAATTAGAAAGGCATCTGAATCTGAGGTTCAGATGGCATGGTTCCTATGGTATGATAAAGTTAAGATTAATGTAGACTTTAAGAATCATTATACATATTGAGAAAATGGAACAGATATAAACCCAGACTGTGCCTGAAAATGCTTTTGTGGGTCTCAACAAGAGAAGCATTTTAAAGGAAAGAAACAATAGGTAAAGAAAAATGGTTAACTTATCAAGAGTTGTTAGAACAGGAACATGGAGAATATAAGGTAAAATCAAAAGAGCAATTGGCTGCAGAGAGATTTAGTTTTCAGTGGTTTTCGTATGCATACTTAAGAGAAAGATTTAAGGTAGATAATAGGACATTCGGAATTGAGCAGTAGAAGACATTTGAAGTTGAACTATATACAAATGATGAATTTGTATGATGATGTAATTGCTAAAATGTATAAACTTGTATTGAAATTTGAAATGAAAGGAATAAGTGATAAAATGGGCTAAGAACTTTGGACACAATATACAGATGGAACAGTGGGAAAATATATGGTTAAAAGGATTGAAATTTATATTATGTTAAAACTTAAAAGAGAATTTTTATAAAATGATGTACTGTTGGTATATGACACCAGAAAAATTGTATAGAATGTATAAACGTACTTCAGATTTCTGTTAAAAATGTGCACAACATGAAGAGTCATTTTATCATACTTGGTGGACTTGTAGAAAAGCCAGAAATTTCTGGGTTCCAATACATATAATGATACAAAGAATTTTAAAAATCAACATTCAACTGAAACCATAATTTTTCTTGCTGGGATTAATGGACAGTCAGTTAGAAAAGAGCCATTGAAGATTATGTTTTTATAGGATTACTGCTGCAAGATTATTATATGTGCAAAAATGGAAAGACTCTGAAATATCCACAATGGAGCAATGGTTGGTGAAGATGACACAATTAGCAGAGATGGCAAAATTAATCTGTTTGATTAAAGAAAGATCAACAACCACATTTATTAGTGACTGGGAACCCGTTATGGACTTTTTGCTGAAAACAGAGAAAAATGAACGTGTGATTTATGGGTTTGAAGATTAGAAAGGGTAGTTTATGGAAAGAAGGAAATTATGATGTAACCTTAGAGAGAAAGGGCAAAGTAAAAATGTATCTATAACTGCTATCAAGAAGATTGGAAGTTCCTTCTTTATCATCTTTCCTTTCCTTTCCTTTCCTTTCCTTTCCTTTCCTTTCCTTTCCTTTCCTTTCCTTTCCTTTCCTTTCCTTT